ACAGAGCAAAAAACACAAGAACAAACACAGCAACACAGGAAAGAAAAGAATGGTGGAAAATAAGAGTGAAGACCGTACGTCAGACTGCCCCGAGATCACCTTCGACACCCATCTGTTAGCATGAACCTGAATTAACCCCCCCCCCCCCCCCCCCCCCCCTTTTCTTCCCCCCCCCCCCTAAAAAGCAAGGAGCAAAATTCACGGCGCAGAGGTTTTCATTCTGTGCCAAAGCTCCTCTCTCTGCCGGCCTCCATCTATCTTTCTGGTGTATAGACTGGAGTTAAAGAGCAGCAAATAGAAATGCCATCTGGCAGTAGTCTGGCCGTAGCTGTTTGTGGGACATATGATGGATTCTATCGAGGATAGAGGCCAAAACATAAAAAAAAAAGCTGAGGTCAGTAAGTTTAGGAATCCCAAAAGTGGGAGAAGTCTGTAGGACGGTGTTGTTCAAATGTTGGAGGATGTCCTTGTCGTGTGGTTTTGGATCCTTGACAAGTTGTATAGCAGTATCATATTTACTTTTTTTTTTTTTATCTCTGTTGATTGCAGCTTGACCAGCTGGTATCAACTCCGCCCAATCTGGTGGTTCACAGTTACCGTCACGTTGACGCACGTGTACGCGATCCTAATTAGACGTTTGGGGGACCCGGTCGGGAGTTCGCCAAGTCCAGACGGGTTCTTCCCTTTCCTGTGTGTCACAGCATGACATCACAGTCTGGGCGTCCTATCACCGACATGGACGGCAGACAAAGGCGATGGCTGACGGGGAGTGACTTCGTTCAACCTGCCCAGCTCTGATTCCACCCAGCAGACCGGCTGTAGGAGGAAATGTCCTACAGAATGTGCCACGTGGGCCGTGCCACTTTGGTCCTGGAATTCTTATCATGTTGACTTTTCACTAGGGATGGACCGCACTGTGGTTTCGCCTGCAGCTGGGATAACAAAGTGATGAATAGGGAGGCTATTGAGGAAAGGAAATGCCCACACACTCACCTCCTCCATTCATGCCCTCAGTCAGTTGACACACACACACACACACACAGGTCCCAAATTTAGTGGCACTCATCCGGGCGGAGACGTTTGTGAACTGCGGGGCTCTGCCGAGCTGCACTCTTCAGGGCCGCGGCCATAAAACAAAAGCACTTGAAACATGAAAGAATTCCTGCAATTTACAAGAGGAAGTGGAACATCTAAGAGACGGCGTTTGAATTCTCGCTGCACTCCTCCTCTGGGCGAAGTGTCAAAGCCGTGGTGGCCGCCGCCGCCTGACGTTCTTTCCCTTCCGACGCCACCACAAATTCAAACCGCCCTGTACAATGTCTCAGTGACCAGTGAGACCTCAGTAAAACACGTGTACCCGGAGCGGAGGGAACCAGCATGGGTGAGTCAGAGGCCGTCCAGGGTTTTTCTTTTTGAACCTGGCAGCTCTGGGGGGATGTTTCTGTTCATTTGGTTATCTCTCTCCAGAGTCCCCGAGGTGAAGTGTACTGTAAAGTCAACTTAGCTGATACAAACCAGTGGTAGTCACGCAGCAGTGACACATGTTGTACCTGCTGAGGACACGCTAGTCGCCGGCATCAGAGCATTGTACTGTACCCAGTTTGACTTTAATGTATAATACTACACATCACAACATATTTATATATTTATATACTCAACGTGTTAAGAAGCAGCAGTGAGTTAACCCCCTGTATAACCTTACCGACTATTACCACAGGTACTGATGTAAGCAGGCTAACAGTGACCTGTTGTATCTTTGTATTAACTCAAATTCACCGACCTCTTCTTCAGTACTGGAACTGAACAAAACAAAAGTACCAGAGCTTCCCTCAAACCTAAAATAGTTCCTGTTCAAGGACTCCAAAGACGTTTAACAACAAAACTGCTCTTCTTCTAGAAGAAGACTGATCTTGATGTACACCCAGAGTGCTAGCTCTATGTGTTCGTTACACGTTGGCTTACTGCTAGCTATCGTGGTTAGCGAGCAATGCTACTTTTAAGTGTATTTATATACAATGGAAGGCTCCACATGTAATACTTTGAAGTTACAGTATGCTGTTATTCAAAAGCACACTCGACGATGCTAATGTTATTAGCATAACATTAGCGTGTTAGCGTTAGGTAGTTTCTGTGAGAATGTACCAGGTCCATTTAGGGAAAAACCCTTATCAATCAGTTGACTAACACTGAGTGTGTGATGACCTTCCTGTCAATCCGGTTGGAATAACTCCATCATAATTCATTTTTTTGTCTCGTTTTTTTCTTCTTTGTGATTCTTCGGCAACACATGGTACAGACAGTAGACTGCAAATCTTTGTACAATTATGTGAATATTACGATGTGTGTGACCTGCATGTGTCCAGTGTGTGTGAGTGTTTGTGTGTGTATGTGTGTGTTTGCAGTTTTCCAGAATTTTGGTCTGCATTCATGTGGATAATTATAACTTTATGGAGATTTTTTTCCCCTCCCTTCCTTACAACCACATCTGCAGCGGAGGCAAATAGTCGAGGAAGGGTGGAGGACAAATTTGCTGCCTCCCTCTCTTTTCTCTGCATCTTACTGGTTTTCTCCTCCCCCCCCCCTCCCCTCTCTTCCATTGCCATTCCCCCTCCTTCAGTGTCGCTCATCTTTCACCCCGGCCCGGACCACCTACGTTAGAAGCCTTGGGTGGACCAGAACCATTGCTATCAGCACAAGTGTACTCAAACGTCCCATAATGACTTCCACTTAGAGCCAGTCCATAAACACTCTCAGATGCAGAGAGACACACTCTCAGTGCTCGGGCCGAGCGGCTGCATGCTTTCTTCCTCCGCAAAGCCTGCACTCACTTAGCTAGTTTCCTTAATTCCTTTCTTAATAGGAATCTGTTTGTTTGTTTATACATTGGTTCAGTGCTGTTTATTTGGCCGCCCGTTTTTATGAGATCTTGCAAAGGCACTGGAGCCACCCTCGGAGCTGTGCTCACCTCGTGTGTGTGGCGCAACATGGGCGCATTAAACTTAAAGCTTTTTTACTGTAACTCGTAGAGCTTTCCGGCAGTGGTTAAAGCTGCGGTGAGGCTACCTCCGCAAAGAGTTGCCCGGCAGAACGACATCATGAGCTTGTACCATCTCCAAAACTACGGGTCCCACGCCCGTGCACCATGATGTCACACAGGCTTGGGTCATTATGTTTTCTCGCGTTACGTTAAAACGCAACAAAAAGTCATGTACGCTGCAAGGGTGGAGCCGACAGATCCCTTTAACTCGGCGAATGACCTCAAGCTAATTTAACTGCTGTGCGACATCATGACGGGCTCAGTGAAAAATCTGATTTAAAATGTCAGTCTGTGCCGTGCTATTTGTTTGCGCTCTCACTGATGTCACTTTCAATGTGAGCAAACAACAAAGTGATGATTATTAACAAAACCACAAAACACATTCTGACAGTTGTGTCGTTATGTGACCAGAATTTTAGGTTTTTAATTCACTTCTTGGAACATGTTTTGGTAACTGTTCTGTGGGTCAGAGGAAGGTTGTACTCACCCGGCTAATTGAAAAGTTCTGGGATGATTCAAACCAAGTCGTCAGGTAGCAAAAATCCAAAGTCTGCTGCAGAATAAAGTCAGAGGAGGCAGTCAGAAAAAAAAAAAAACAACAACAACACTGAACTAGAAAGTCAGTGAGTTCAAACACAGGTGAGCAAAGTGTGTGAAGACTCAACTAAATGAGCAACAGGTGAGAAGGGTTTGGGGCGTGGCAAGCAATCAGAGGAGAACCTGGAGCAGACGTGAAGTTGTCAGCAACAAGATGACTTGAAAATAAAAACAGGAACTTGATGCTGTGACAAAAACAAACCGATGTTATTTCATCACAAATGTAAGAGCCTGAAGAGACTGGAATACAAATGAGTGTTGTAAAAAAAAAAAAAAAAAAGAAAGAAAGAAAAACTGCGAGAAAAGAAAAACTCAGATGCCAAAGAAATGACATGATGTGTTGCGTCTGTAAATGCTACGGGTTTTGTTGTTTTGTACAAGTGGTTGGTCATTTTAATTAATGCTGCATTACCTCAGCTGATGGTCTGTGTATCATAGACATTAGATCACAATTGGACTAGAATATATATATATATATATATATATATATATATACATTGAGCTCACATCAATTTACATTCATTTTCTTATAAAAGCATATTTCAAAACTTTGTTGAGGGTAGATATTCTATTTTTTTCTAATCAGGTATTGAGTATTGCTAGCATAGAACCAAAAATTGAAATTAAACCTTAAGTAAAACGTAAAGTAAATGTAAGGCCAATACTGAACTTCATAAATAACTGCACTTATACAGCCAGTGTTTATAGTACCTAATAGAAAAGGAAAAAGAAAGAGAAGTACTGCTTATTCCTATTACTCTACAAAAGTACAAAAGTGTATACATACAGTACTCAAAAATAAGTAACAGTAACAAACTTAAATTTGACATCAAACATTAGTTTACGGTGATTCTTTAAGACCTCGATATTTAACGACACACCAACCAGCACAAGAAGAGAAACCTTTTTTCTCTTTAGTTTTTGAATTCATTGAACATTTTTGAAGGTCGTGTCTTCAGACCTCTGCGTCTTCCGTTCTCACAGACAGCCAACTTGGCAGTAATAACCGACCCGAGTCTGTGTGAAAAAGAGCAGAACCTGCTGCTGTAAAAGGACATATTGGGGCAGATGGTAGCATTTACACCAGATCAGGTGAACAACTGCACCAAGGTTTGTTTGAAATAAATCAAACGTCTCTCAGAGGGGACATCAATCTGTCGATGTGAGATAGGGACAGAGGGGGGAGGAAAAAAAGTGTGTTTTCACCTGATCTGACCAAGGTCTGGTGAAAATGATAGGCTTGGATAAAGGCTCTGGTGATGAGATAAGTGCGTCCAGGTGCTGAGGGTTGAAGGGCCTCAGGTGAATGGAAATTTGGAGCAGGTGAGTAGATGGGAAAGTCCAGGGACATCTGCGGAGTGTGAGGTAAATCCAGGTCAGGGACGAGACGTGACGGGAAGGTTAAACAGTGATGTGCTGTCCATGAACGAGGGAGAGTGAGTTGAAGAGTTCAGGAGAGAAATTTAAAATGTTTCTATTGGACATCAATAATGTCTTTGTCCCAGAAGAAGACGCTTTATTTATCATTGTGCATATATTTAACCCAGGCGTGGGCAAACCTGTGATTTTATAACGGCTTTTCACTACAAACACCATTCAGAGTACTACTTGGTTTCCCTCGGTGTCGTCATGGGTTGTTGATTTAAGTAGGTGACAGTGACAAAGATTGGATCGAGACGTACCGTAACAGAACCCACTGATGTCTCTTCTCGTCTCAAAGACGTACCGTAACAGAACCCAACATGACACTGAACCCACTGATGTCTCTTCTCGTCTCATCCACGGTACAGTGGCGAGATGAGGCATTACACCGCAACATGTCCAGTGTTTGTGTTTGTTACTTCTTTAGTTGATACATAGAAGTAGTTCTACACAGTTCAATGGGACACTTTCCTTAGTGAGTAGCATGAGTCAGTGTTTAGTTTGATCTTTTTTATTTTAATTGGAATGCGATCACAGCCTTAAAGCTCCGCCCACTTTCTGTTCATTCAAAATAAATGACATATATAACAATACATAAAACTGCCTCTTAGATAGATTTAACATGTTTTAACTTTTTAGAATACAAAGTATAGACATGGAAGTTGTTCTGGTAGATGGTAGAAAAACAGTTTGAATAGTAGTTTGTTCTTTCTTACGACAGACTTGATTCAAAACAACAAATTCTAAAAGATCTCCTCCAGATGTTTCAAACATCTGTCGCAGACAAAATCTTATTTGGTGTGATCCGCCACCCTCACAGCTGCAGACACTAACTTGGACTTGATCGTGACAGAGGAATGTCAGCGACTCCATCTGCATCACAACACCTGGAAATTTATCTAGCGGCGAGATAAACTCAAATATTCACAAATCTTTCAGCACAAAACGCGGTCAACATTTCACATAATCCCCGTTGTCAGAGATTGTCCCGATGATCTCCTACCTGCTCTGACAGGATGGGACAGACACATCTCTGGTAATGACATTTTTCTCCGGCGGACGGGGGAGAACCTTTACGTGACAGCAGAGCATCTCAGAGAAGGGTTGGAGGAAGAGGAGAGGAAAGAAGTGCGAAGATTGAGATCAGACAGGCAGCTGCTGCTCTGCTCCCATCTTCTATCAGTGTTGACGTTTTAGTGTTTTATATCATGTCAGAATGCGGGTTTGAAAATGTGCCACTGACATTGTGGTTCCGAACTCAAGCTGTGGAAAATAGATTTGAATGAAATTCACTTTTTCTTTTTTTTTTCTCAAACTTTTTTTTCCCTTCCTCTCTCTCTGCTGCTGCAGCTAAGGATTTCCAAACTAAACATGAATTCTCCCTGATATTCTGTATAAATGACAAGCATGTGCTCATGCTCTCATACACACACACACACACACACACACACACACAGAGTCCTGAAACGAATCAAAGACAGTAAGATAAAAACATCCAACTGCCTCTTTCATCTGGTTTGTTTAGAGTTTTTCCATCTCGTGTTTATCCCCGGAGCAAAACTATGCATCTTGTTTTGCAATCATCTTGCCTTTAATCTGTTTGGGACATTGTCTCCTCTTCTATCAGTACCCAGGTGAGTTATCGAGGCGACCGAGCATCCTGCCAAGCGTGGGGTTTCACAGCTCAGGGGCCACTATCTGGACTCGCGCTGAGCAACTATCTTCACATGTGGGCCAGAGGGTGGACTTGTCTGCAGCTCACCAGATTAGACCGGGGCAGCACTGAGCCATGCCACGATAAAAGCTCCTCTGTGGAGATGTTGCAAAGCTCAGGAGATTGGAGATGATGAGATTGGAGATGTTAAACATGCAATAAAGCAGGATGGCATGAACACCTGAAAAAAGTGGAGACCAAACACAGATAAAAAACTATGTGATGTAAAAAAAAAAAACAAAACATGTCTTTCTTCTCTTTTTTCAGTGTTGTTTTACTCATTTTTTTAAAAATAAGAACATTAATTCATCTTTTAATCTTTGTCAGAGTCAGAGGAGCTGGAGGCAGTCCAAGCAGGGGGGCGAGGAGAGGGTGGTGTACACCTTGGAGTATGCTACAGTACAGACGCAACAACCTTTCATACACACATTTAGACTAAAGGTCAATTCAAAGTGAACAATTAGTCGAATCCCACATGTTATTGGGCGGTTTTAGGAAACATCACACACACAAAAGGAGATCTGGAAAACTAATTGGTTTTGTTTACTCCTGAAGTTTTTGGTAACCTTTGATTCCTTACCCAAAGAGTTAATCCAAATAAACTTGAAGCTACAGTTCTTACTGACTGAATATGGATCTTTTCTAGTCCTGATGACACTCAGAGCACCCTCGCCATCACCAAAATGACTGAAGGCTGTTGGGAGCAATTGGATCACATTCCCAAGTACACATTTGCATGAAACCTGCACTACTTGCTAAGCTAAATGCTAACACGATTTTGATTTGATTTGATTTTGATGGATCACCAAAATGACTGAAGGCTGTTGGGAGCAATTGGATCACATTCCCAAGTACACATTTGCATGAAACCTGCACTACTTGCTAAGCTAAATGCTAACACGATCAGTTCCATTTTTAATACCTTCAATAGTGAGTCATTTGAGGTGAATTTGTTATTCGTGATTTGCTGTGTCAATGTTGTGTTGCATTTCTTTCTTCAAGAGTAGACAAGAGGAGCCTTTTAGCTCGTTTGCTAACAGCATAACTATGTGTCTATGTGTCTTTAGCCTCATTGTTACTGGATGAGCTATGGATTGAATTACTTATTAAATATGTTTGTGTTGAAACTACTAGACATTCCTCCTCCTCTTGTGAATATTGGCAAAAGATGTGATGTGTTAGCGCAACTTAGCTGTTTTTAGCTCATGTGCTAATGTCAGGACTGTGATGTCACACCGACTGATGGTCTGTCTCCTTGGTGTATTGAAGGCTAAGTAAAGAGAAGTTGTTATAAGACTTTTCCCAAATTAACACATAATTAATTGATGTTATATCAGACGACAACATTATTGACCAACACCGAGCTTTAACAGACATTAGAATCCAAGATGGCGCTAGCACTAGCAATACACGCTAAAAAAAAAAAGTTGCAGAAACGTTGACATTAAATACACGCTAAAAAAAAGTTGCAGAAACGTTGACATTTACCAGAACTCGCAGTTCTGTTACAAGGAACAGCAGATGGTCGACTTCATAAGATGAAATCTT